GAGTGCCAATGTGCATTCGAAGAATTGAAAGTAAGTCTATGCTCGTCCGTAGCGTTAAAGTTGCCTGATCGATTCGTCCGGTTTTCAGTTACCCGGGACGCACCTGACTATGCAGTAGGGTACTACTTAAAACAATACGATAATTTAGGACAACGAAGACCAGTAGCTTTCGGGGGCAGAAAACTAACGAAAGCTGAAACAAACTATTCCGTCACAGAAAAGGAATGTTTGGCAGTCATCTAAGCTCTCAAAGCGTGTCGCCCATATTTTTTAGCCAGAGAGTTTGATTTGTATACGGATCATCAATCACTGAAATGGGTTTTGACGCGGACCAAAGAACACAGTGGTCGGCTGTGGCGTTGGGTGCGTAAAAAACAAGAGTTCCGGTATACACGTTAAAGCGCATTGCAGGAACTAGAAACACAGTCGCCGACGCTTTAATCACATTAGTAGAAATAGAAAGCGAAGACGACTGGTCTCTCGAATATGCACGTCACCAACAAGAGGAGTGTCCAGCACTTAGTAAGATTAAGTCTTGTTTAGAATCATAAACGACATTGAAAACGTCGGACAAGAAACACGCAGCTCTTGCAAAGGAACTACCATTCTGTCTCATTGGAGATGATGGAGTGCTTCGCCGTAAAAGCAAAGACGGAAAAGTGTATATCATAGTTCCCCAAAAATTGACCTCCAGAGTTTTGAAGATGTTGCATGATGGCCAAAGACATTTCGGTTATTCAAAAACATTAAAGCGGTCACAGGAAAGGTATCTTTGGCCAAAAATATGTTCTCAAATTGACGAGTGGTGCAAGAAGTGCAGTCTGCCAACAAAGACCAATTCCAGTCCCAGCAAACAGAGCACCACTACAACCAATTACAACACGGCTACTAGGAGAACTTGTGAAACTGTGGATTTCGTAGAATATCAATTATTTCCTCGGGGATATCGCTACTGTCTCGTAATGATTGACCATTAATTTTACGAAATGGTTGGAGTACGCGTTCCCCCTAAGGAATCAGAAACTGTGGCAAAGAAGGTGTTTGATGGGTGGCCATGGCGCTCCTGAGCAACTTCACCATGCTCAATGAAAGAACCTATCAGCAAAAACGATTGAAGATGTCTGTAACTTCCTGGAAGTTTGGAATAAGCGCACTACATCATTCCATCCCCAATCAGATGGCGCTTCGGAGGGAAGTATCCGCACGGTGAACAGCATGTTCGCAAAAGTAGTTGCAGATGACCAAAGACACTGGGACTTATATACGTATCTTCGTCATGTTTTCCGTACAACACTGCCGTACATAGCAGCACCGGATTGACGCCAAGTTATTTAGAGTTTGGGAGGGAGCTTCGGTTGCCGAACGACGTTGCGGAGCCAGGTGAATATGAGAAACGTGTCGAATTACACACAGAGTATGCTCAGCAGCTAAAGAACAGACTATCAAAAGCATTTCAAACCGCGAATGACATTCTCCACTCTGCGCACAAAACACAGTAACATTTATATGATCGATGGGCAAGGGCCAACGTTTACAAGGCAAGGGATCTAGTGTTGTGGCTTGATAGAAAAATCAGACGAGCAAGGTGCATGGAGTTAAACAGAGTAGTTGTCTGGGAGAAGTTGTGTACCGGATAAAGTACGAAGGAAGGGAGAAAGTCCGCGTCAAGGGACGAGTTGTCCACCACAATCAATTGAAACAGTTTCATGACGTCCGAGAACCTGACACGGCGGAAAATAACACGGTGGATCCAAAGGAAGAGGAGAACGACTCAGTCGCCAGCAACTGATACTGCAGTTATAGTCATTGAAGGTCCAGATGTTGCCGCTCCAATTGAAGACGTAAAACAAGATAATAATAATCCGGCTGAGCAACCTGAACCAACTAACGACAATGAGAGACCACAGCGAGAACGAAGACCTCCAGAATGGTTTGTTAACAATGATATGAACTTTTAAAAACTGTGGGACCTAGTTTTATCTAGAGGGAGGATGGTGTAAAGTATGGGCTACCTGTAGCGGACATGCGCAGTAACAGTGAGATTGAGACTACATGTTGAGATTCTACATGTAATAACTTTTATTAAATTGTTATAATACAATTCGTTGTATTATTGTTACACTTATCCTAAGCACAAAATTCTAACCCTAAAACCAGACCTAACCTCAAAACACTGAGCTCTACATACAACAAGGCAACGGAAATAATAATTAAAATATTTACCAACTTGTGGAGGATCATATCGTGAGCCATCGTCTGAAGGTCGTCTTTGATAATATTTCTCACAGTTCCGACTGAATTTACAACAAAGAAGCCAAGGTAATACATCTCGTTTCATGTGACCCCATGTACTTTCGTCAGGAGACACAACGTCCAGTGTACCACCAGCAGGAGGTCCTACTATCAATGAATTACCATTATAACAACATTGTTGACCTGCACCTGATTGACTGTAATAAACATAAAGGGTATTCAAAGTGAATTCATTTGTACCAAATGAAATTGGCCAATATGAATATTAGCAAGTTAAAAACTATGTGTTTCATGATACAAATATGAAACATGGCACGTGTGTAATGACTTAAAACATTTACATTTACAAGTAATCGTTACTGTTTTAGGTAACTGTAGCGGTAACTACATAGTTACGTTTTGAAAGGAGGTAACTGAAACTATAACTAGTTCCATATTTGCTTAAAATGGTTACATATTTGCTTACTTTTTTCGTTATATTTTCATATGAAAATATAGTAGCCTATATGCCATTTTTTATGCTATCAACTATATAATTATATAACTTTTATTATCTTAAATTAATGTAGTCGCCATAAACCATTTGATAGCTATACAATAAGTCTTCTATTTTCCGGCATGCAGTTGGGCCAGTTATGATATTCTTTACATATTATTTTACGTAAATACTTATTAAAATTGCAGATGTAAGTTTAACCGTACCTCGCGCTTCTGGATCGAAAACAGGACGTACTGCCGGGATGAAAGAATTGGCTCAATATTCGTTCTATCCAAGAATCTTCCAAAAATTCATCATCGGCTGATATTTGTTGAAAGCTTGTTGCACATGGTAGTAACTCGTCTGTTATGAGAATAATGAATAGACTATAAATGAAGACCTAATTTATTTATTTCTTTTAGTCTTTTAAATCCAAGTTCGAATAAATTGAGTGACACAAATTAGGAACATCAATCAATTTGTTGTAAGACTATGAATATTTGATTCAAGAATGTTGAATATTGCTGGAAGGAATGTGTCTGAACATTTCAATAAAAACTTATTCAGAATTACTGAGGTGCCCCTCCCCCTATAAATTTGAGGAATAGGGAAAGTCTGGAATAATTATATTATTTTGCTTGCTAGAAATATTTGGTGTGAAGATGAGGTTATCTGCTTTAACCCCCGACAAAGGATAAGAGTAAGAATAAATTTTCAGATAAAAATGTATATAGTTGAAGTTTAGAAAGCAAGTTTTCTCCTTTGAACGCAGGTCAGAAAAATGCATAAAGTTCCGAACACTTTCCCTCAGAACGATTACAATTTTAAATTTTCAACAGAAATTTTTATATTCCAAATACAACTTTTAATTTCCGCACCATGCTCGCTGGTGCCCATAGTGACGGACTTAAAAATTATTCTTTATATAGCTGGCTACAAGCTTTTGGTTACCTTGCAATCTTGCGATTTTATCTGTATCTTGAGAAGCATACCAATTGTTGCACAATTCTTCACTGTGGTGGGAAACCAGCCAACGAACAATAAAAGTTGAACTATAAATTGCTACTCCAGAAATGATGGGAAGCACTGGAAAAAATCGTTTTACTCTAACTAACGATGGTGTTATGCTAAGAATTGCAATCGGTGATTCCGTATTCGAACTTCTCTTTCGTTGTTTTTTCCTGTAGGGAAAAAATGTAATTAACTATTCTGATAATTTATATCAAAAACATTTCTCGACAAGTTGTAACTTAGAGATAGGTAATTGGATTTCTACAGACGTTGGGGTTTGTACATTGTGCAAAATTTGTGCTCCTGTGTTCCGTCTTAAAATGGACTTTTGTTGGCAATGTCGGCTTGGATTTCTTGACATGAATGTTGGGTAATCTTTGATTTAGGGGTAAACATACCCATATTACTAAGAAACAAAATTGGCATAAAAAGCGACCAAGCCATTCCAAACTTCTGTCCAATATTATACTGGCTATACGAGTTACTCAGATTTTTGACGTACCGAAAACTTAAGACGCTTGCCTATGCATCGGCTACTAAACTAGAAATACATGCATGCATGCATCAAACCCTCGCCTTTATTTTCCTAAACATTCTAAATTACGCCACCAATAAACGCAGGCAGGTGTTGTTGGTGTTATATTAGTCATTGAAACACGAATGCACGATCACTGTTTTTAATTTTTCATTTTTTGTGCAAAACGGGAAAAACTGTCGAACTATCAATTTCTAAAATATATAAAGCAGGTATGTTATTTTTCACTCTATAAGCTTGAATTTAATACGGTAATATTCAACCTTGAACGCTTCAAGAAATGTTCATTTAACTTTATAATGTATATGTTGTTTTAAGTGTTTGGCAGTTTTTACCGATTAACTATTTAACTTAGTATTTTTATTAGTTGCAACAAAATTTCAATCATACAGTTCGCCCTTGGAAATAATTTATAAGTTTTTTAATTCTATATTTTTTTTAAAATATAAAATAGAGCAATTTAGGAGGCAATTGGAAAACCCGAAAACAACGTAGTACACATTTACAAATGAAGAAAATGGCTTTATATTTCATCATTTCTCATCTTACATCTCTTCTTGTCATTTATATTAAAACAAAAATTTAAAAAATCGCTTTATAGCCCATCGTATGAAACGACTTTCCCATAAATTTTTGCATTTGACTCATTCCACATTTGGCAGTCCGCCATATTTTGATATCAGTGAGATGACCACCCACTACCCCACTTTTGAAACCGCTAGCAGCCTTCCTTTTCCCGGGTGTAAATATCCGTGCGGAAATAATACCCTTGCCACGGGCTTACGCCCGTTAGTTCGGAGATAAATGATCTTGTTTGGAAGGCAAATAGGCTTTACAGATTATGCTCGGCAAATTTCTGGCAACTTTTTGCATTTGAAGCAACTTTTTATGATATCAGCAACTTCAAGCAACCTCCTCCTGGAAATGCATAATTTTTGGAAATTTCTGACAATATAGACAGCATGTTGCTAATTTTATTGATAGAAAGATAAAGAAATGCTTGATAGCCTTGAATGCTTTGATCCATATTCTCGTCAAGCTCGTTTTCTTGGTCATATGAAAGAATAGCACGACAAGGCTCCAAAATATTTTCCCTATCCTTGGCCATTTGACGAACTTTTTAGCTTATCATTACTTCTACAGTTTGGGAGATCCTATGGCAGTCAGCAGCTTGACATATTTGCAAACATCCATAACAACCCCCATAACTGCAAGTCACATTAATTTGATAATTGCTGGCTGCTCAGACCAGTTTGCAAGCTCAGTTTATGACTGTTTATCAAACCCAACAATGGTGCAGTTTGAAAATATCACGAAAGTTCATGTGCCTAATAGCAATACACTTTTTATAAATACATATGAGAAGTAGAGTCTATAGATTATTCATAGCTGCAGTATGTTCCAAACCGAAGAAAAGTTTACTGAAAAACGCTGAGAAATAAGTTACCTCATTTTCGCGACCTGCTACCACAGAATAAGACCAAAATAGGAATATTCATTGAATTCAATAGTATTTCAGTATATCATACACAAAATTAAATATTATTTTCACTTGTAAGCGATTTGTTTATGACCCAACAATATTTATGATGAAGAAAAAGCGATGAAATGCTAATGCTGGGAGAAGCGTCATGTATGTCTTGTTCGTTACGAGAAACGTTTGACATTTTAGGCCAACTTTTTTTCAATTTTCGAGCAACTTTTGAGCAACTTATTCAATTTTCGAGCTACGTTTGAGCAACTTATTCAATTTTCGAGCAACTTTTGAGCAACTTTTTAGCTTTTTTAGAGCACAATTTCAGCATTTTCGTAGCATAATCTGTAGAAGCCTAAAGGCAAACATATTTTAGACTTTCAATCGTTTTGATCGAAAATGCGCAATAAGTTCCTATAGTCGTGCTCGCGCAGTTTAATTTCACATATACTTACGTTGTATTTGATAAAATATTTTCCTCGCTGAAATCAAGATGGTAGTTCCCAGAATTAGGGACATGTTTAAAGCTTACCAAACTAGCTTCATGAATACGGAACTCAAAGGTATCAAAAAGAGATATTTCAATGTCCACGTGTGATGCGTTGATTGCATTTTTATTCCAGGTTAAGATCGTTTTGGTCGAGTTTGCCCAGTGTTCCACTTCTAACCCTTGTATATCTGGAGGATTTCTACCCAAAGGAACTAAAATTGGAAACATATAATTACACTCTAGACCCTTCAGATATTATAAACATTTGTCAATGACGAGCATGCACACTTGGATATATTTATATACAATCATGTATTATCGAAACCTCTCATAAAATTTTCATCCAAATTGACCTGAGAGATGCTTACGTCACATGACATTGAAAAAAGAATTATTGACCCAAAAGTATTCCCCAGTGCTCCGCGCATTCCAGAAGTCTTCTGTATTAAAAATGGCGTGACGTAAGTACTTGTAAGATCTAGTCAATCACAATTTGATCAATATTTTCCTAGCTTTTGGCAATACGCCAATACATGAAACTACATAAGCATTCATGCATAGAAGAGACCAGTAATTGAAACTCTAAAGCTTATGATACACGGACCATACGAGCCATCGACATTAAGACGTTTTCGCCGAGTATAAACGAGAAAAGATATTGATATGTTTCCTCATCTCAACATTCGATTTATCTTTCGCTCCTCTAAACGCATCTCTTCTTTCTCTCCTTTCAAGGAGAAAGTTCCTAAGTTTCTGAGATCTGGTGTTGTATACTTATTTAAGTGTCGATGCTGTTCCGCGTCGTATTTGGGTCAAACCATGCGCCATTCACACCCCAGAGTATCGGAACACCTGGAACTCACTCCTATAACAGGACAGCCGTCATCCAGTCCAGTCATGTCTAGTATTTTCTCTCACTTAAATACTACAGGTCACTTGTGAATTATTGATTCACGAAAGCCTTCTTCTATCTAAGCTCAAACCCTCTCTTAACGTCCAGGGCAGCTCTATAAAATTACAGAGGGTTAAGCGGAATAGAGGCTCTATTTCGCTTAACCTCCTGTAATTTGCCGTTGTCTTGTGTCTGTTTTGTTTCCTCACTTGTATCGTCCTGTCATCATACACCCTCTTATCCTTTATTATCCTTAGTAACATAATTAATAAACACCTTGTAAATGGATTATAATTAACTTATATATTTTCAAATCTCATGTAATTTTATCTAGTCCGAAGATGTCTTAAGTTAATGACGAAACGTTACAATAAAAATTCTTTAAAATCTTAACTGTACTGTTTTAATGATTTTGTTAAAAGTTATATTTTGGGCCCTCATATTTATCATAAGAATTCGTTTTCTGCCTGGCAAATCTCTGGCAACGATATGGTTAAAATAATTTGACCACTATACAGTATAGGCCTCGCCGTGCCTCCTTCCCCAAACCCCACTTCCAAACACACACACCGTGATCACTGTGATACCATGCATGAATGCATGAAATACACCATTCGAAGAAATACAGTAGAAAGAATAATGATATGGAGTATGCGACTTGTACACTAAATTTGCAAACGATTTCGTTTATCAAGCAACATCCACTCGGATTAATTCGAAGGACTGAGAATATTCCTACTTGATATGAGCTAGACATGAGCATAATATGTGCTTACATAAAATAACACATAAAACACCTAAAATACATGAAATAATAAAAAAAAATAATAATAAAAAAATAAAATAATAATAATTCAAAAATAAAAAGTAAACACTTCATGACGTAAGTCGATGTCATATACTACGTACAGTACAATATAAAAGTCAATTTCTCAAGCAAATTAACTGGTAAAATTCATGCTTTATAAATATTTGCATATTATAGTAAAATACATATTGAAAGAAAACTTCAAAAGTGAACTCACTTGATCTGAAGGTGCCCGTGTAGTTAAATGTTGCACCACCATCCAATGACAACTCAACTGAGATGCGACCAACAACATATAATGGTGGAGTGATGCAATACGCTAGTTCTGCACTGACATACACAGCATCTGCCTCAATAGCCTTGTTGAACCGACATACAATTTGATCATCAGGTTTATAACAAGGTCCACCAATAAATATTTCAGTTCCTCCTAATTCGATTCCTGATCTCGGTGAGAGTACCAGACCTATATACGGGATATAATTTTTATACCGTTAATATCAGTTAGGCCTATATAGTTGTTTTGACTATCAAAGGAAAAGTTTGATGGAGCATAATCATATTGTGATTATTAGGCATATTTTAAGATATTAAGTTGTCGATTAGATCATCACACACTAATTTACTTATCAATGTATATCATCGTCAGACAAATTTAAGAATTCATTAGGTATAGACTATATATTGGAAAGTAGACTGTGATGTATATCAGTTGATACCTGTAGACTAATTCAGTTATACTAATCTAAATCTTCCGCAGATTATTTAGGAATTTAAGAAATATCCAATCACCTTCTGACTAATTTGTTATTATTTCGTTAGTTTGGCCATTAGTAAATTAGTCGGAAGATGATTCAGTTTCTTGACATTATATCTTGGGCAGCGTTCATTGACTATGTCGGGGGGGGGGGGCTGAAACACAATAGGGAGAGCTATAAGAATTTCTTAGACAGACATGGGAGAGGTTTCAAAAAGTCAAAAGTTGCCGGGGAAGGTAATAAAGAAATATTCTTGAGAGGTGATATAATTTATACAAACACATTACATGTTTAATACCCCATCCCTTTTCTGTACTAAATAATATTATCTGCATGGTGCTTCTTTTAAAATATTTCATTAATATTAGATTGCAATTATGATTCTTAGTGGGGAGACTGTTAAAATTTTTATCTCTTACCTAGCGTATTAGCGGCTTTCCTATTGGCTACGAGGAGGTGCGTTCAATATCGAACCCGCCTGCTGACGTATGTTTAGGAGGTGGGTTAGAGATCGATGTTTCGGCGGCCATTATGAAGCGATTTGAACAAATTTCAGATGAAGATTTAAATAAAAAATTATTAACTGTTTTTAATTGTTTTACAATTATTAGTTTTTTATTTTGTGTGATGAAAATGGAATATTCTGTATTCAAAGTGGAAGAGAAGAAAGATGGCCGCACGAAATTTGTTCGGCACGGGCAGGTTCACTTGGCAATGTTTTCGCAGAATTTTCGCATTTTCTTTCATTTCGCATTTTCTCTTTTCAAGAGTAAGGGAGTATTGTAGAGAATTTTTTTTACTGAGCTTTAATTTAAGCCTAACTTTGTCTGTTCGCGTAGTATGTTGATTGTTGGCGGATAAAATGTTCGTTACACAAACAAGAATTAATTATATACTAAAATGCGTAAATTCTCCAGTACTTTTTGCTGAAATGGCATGTGATAAAAACCAAACATACGTGCAGGTTCGGTGAATCCGGAATTGGACGCACCCGAACTCACCTCGCTTCGCTCGGTGACAGCTTCCAGCCACCCTCGGTGCGTCCAATCCCGGACTCACTTCCCTGCAAGTATGTTTGTTATATTGTCCCTCAAGAATGGGAGGTTATAGAAATATTCTAAAAATTATCTGAGTGTTGCCAGCCCCCCTCCCACTACTCGACATAAATAATGAAAGCTCCTTTGCTGTGTATCAGTTAATAACTGCATTTAGTCGTTTTGGAGGTGCAAGGTATTAAAACTTCAAATCGTTAGTATTGTTAACTGAAAAGATCTACAGTCGAGAAAAATTGTACCACTATTTGATGTGCAACCATGATTTTCAACAGACTCCCCATCGACTTGGAATATCCACAGCCCGGGATCTTGATAGTTTGATGTTGAAGTGATGTTGATAATTGCAGGATTGCGAGAGTTTGGAATATTGAAATATCTAAACCCGTCACCTGCGTTAAAACCAGCCTAGAATAAAGAAAATGTGATTTCAAACGACATGTCAGTCAAACTTCAAACGACAGTCAAACTTACATTAAATACGGAAATATTTTAGTCAATGATTAAATACTATTTTTATTAAATTATGTACGGAAATATTGTAGTACATATTATTGTCCTTTACCTGGGCAGGGACACTGCTTGAAGTACCAAAGGTCCATTCAATTTTATTGTAGTAAAAAATTGAAAACGAATTTATACCATCTGTTGCCAATATGGTCTGAAATGCATTCTATGGGGAAAAAAACTTCTTTGGTGTTCGGAAAAGAAGTTGATATACTGGAAGTTCATTTTATATACAATAACAATGGAATTAAACTCTGCATAATTATCAAAGTAAGTGAGTATTTTGCAATATTTAGAATATCAGAAGCTGTGTTGTATTGCAAAATATACTGTATAGTACTTGTAACATAAACCATACCATGTAGCTAAGTGAGTTATCTCAATACACTAAATAACCTGAACCTAACTTTCAGGGGTCGATTATTCAAAGCATGCACGATTATTGCTAACCTTTAATGATTAAAATTTCACTGGGTTTTTTATTTGCATAATTATTTGTGCAAGCCTGTACATTTCCAAACTTCGGAAAATAAGACTTCTATTGATCCGGAAACGGTTTGGGGAAAATATAATTTCTAAATTCATAAACAATCTGTTGCGAAGTTTGATTTCACAATTTCACTAAAGTCCCTGTCACACTATTGCGTATGAGAGAAACGTATGAGAAGCGTATCAAAATTAATGAAATAATTTTTATACGCACAAAAGTCCTTTGAAATGCAAGCGTATGAGTACCGTAGATCTGGCGTACCTCTAGCGTATTCAACGTGTGCCTAGAGTATGCCTATCGTATAAACGATACGTCCGAATACCCCCAAAATGTTTGAGCATGCTTAAAAAAAATTTTCTGCCTAGCCGTATGCCAGCGTATGCCACCGTATGCGCGACCGTGCTTGAAACGTATACAACCTATGCCTAACGTACCCTTAGCGATGTCAGCGTATACCGGCGTATGGGTGATATTTGTTATACGCTGACATACGCCAGTACGATACGCAATAGTGTGACAGGGCCTTAACCCAAGAACCAGATTTCGAAAAACTGTCCCCATGCGAATTAACAAATTTAATTATAATCAGGTTACATAATATGTTTCTTTGTTGTGATGGTGGGATAAGCCTGATTCACATACTGTATGGCTGTGGTATGCCTGGCCTGCGCTATCATTGTTTACAGCGGTTGATGCATACCTTCTTTTGTCAATTATTTGATTGAACTTCTAACGACAGGTATACCGCAGGTATATATACCAGGCTTACAGAGCATAGAGCAAGTTTAATAAGCTCATGCTCTAAGAGAAGGCTTAGAGTGAAAAGGCTATAATAATCACATCTTAATAGACAATTTATGATTTATGGAATATGGCCGGTAATGCTGTATATATTTGGGCGCATATTGTGATAAATATTTTAATTTGCAATTCTATATTGCAAATTAAATTTGCAATTAAATTATATTGTGATTTTATAGAAACGCCAATTAAGGTTGATCCGGAAGATACATGGAACCCCATCTACCCACTTGACTTTTCTAAATAATTTAATTGCAATCTTACATTTGAAGAAGAACTTCCACCGAAGCGAGCAACATTCAACCACGTCACAATCATGACCCACTTTGCTGAAAACTTTCTTTGGCGAACGAAGTATTTTCTAATTTCATTGGAAACTCGTACTCGAATAGCAGGATCCTGAGTTTCTCTGTAATATACAATACCACCCTCTCTAGTATCGACATCCGCCCAGAACGGTGCGATGAGACGGCGATCATTGCCAAGTGGAAATGGATCTGGTGTGTATTGCGAAACCTGGCGTAGGAAAGAGATCACCCCATTCGTGTTCACCTAGAAATGAAGGAATTATCGCAGTTTTAATGAATATCAAGATATTATGAAGAAAAGCTACAGAGTATAATATAAACGCCTTTACGTCTTTCCTGCTTTGCAAAAATAAACTGGAATCATTCTTGATATTGTTTTTTTACTCGGTAGAAATAATGTTCTCTCTCGATCTTTTAATGGATCTCATTCTTTTTTTCTAATAATGTATTTGGAAACAAGTGATCTTGTTTATTGTTTATGTCGCGAAGCCATTCATTCCATGCACATGCAGTTTCCCATGCAAGGGCGTCAATCCTGAGGAGATTGAGAGGGGGGGGGGGGACAAACCAGAACTATCTCAAGTCTCTCTTCCTCAAACTCTAACAAACAACCTTTTGATTAACAAATTTCTGACGAACGAATTGACGAACAATCTTATAAAGCATCTGGTTCTGACGATTTACTGCTTGGAAGTTACAGCTGCACATAAGCAACCGCTTTGCTCTTGAGCACTTACGTTGATCTATCAGTTGTCCCTACTCAAAAGAAACCATCGCGAACACATTATTTTCAAAAATATTGGAATGAAGATTATGCCTGGATCGGATTCATTATTATATGATCCCGATTTGAAAAATGTTATCTGTTTTTATTGTTCAAATGCAAAGGCTATGGGGATAAGTGGATAACAGAGTTTGCCCGACGTAAAGAAGTAACCAACATTTATTTCAAAAGGGTTCAACAATTGGAAAAACGCAATTGAAAAGTTTAAATTCCACTAACACTCTCACGCACATCAAATCGCTGCAGTCAATGCCCACCAGCAAGTGCACAACAACTCACACATGCAGAAGCAAAAGGAACAGCAAATTGCAACAATTTCCATATTAAAGCTGTTCTTAAGCGTGAGGTACCGTTTGTGACAAGGCTATGCGTTTCGGGGCCATAAGGACCTACCGGTTTAATTTAGAAATACTACGGCTAATTTTATTTTGGAATTTTTTACGTATTATACGTGGTATTATAAGTGACATTCAAAACAATGATTTTTCGTTGTAAACTTCTCCAATTACATCTATCACACTATAATTACATTTTTTAACATTTGCAATACATGCAGTGACGCGTGCGCGGCAGGGAACACGCAACAACTGTCGCCAATTATAAGATCTTATAACGGCCCCAACCTAGTACCCATGCTCTTTCCACTACGCGCCTTGCTGGAGGAAAGACCCTGGTCCAGACCGTTCACGTGTCTCCCAGATTGGTGGGGGGCTAAGTTTGTTTTACCAATCTAATTGCCGATATAAATTCGATAAAGTTCAGAGTGAGTGTATTTTAACAAATGCATGTAATTTTAATGAACAGCTGCAAGAGCTTGTGTTGCAAAATCAATGGGATAGATATCTTTGTATACGAGTTTGTATATTTATTCTTTGTGCATTGCATTTGCGACGTCGCAACGCAAGATCTACATACTGGACGGTCTTTTAGTTTCATATTGGGAAAACCGCAAAGAAATACTAAGAAAGGATTATTTTGTAATATACTCAAGGACAAGCAAAGAACATTTGCTTAGCAGCCAACAGCGAGTCTATTGTAAATTGCCGCCAATTTTAATCATAATTGGAACGGCTCGATAACGCGACACATGCATATAGAAATAACAGTAAGAAAATATATTATATAGTGTGCATACAAACCGGGCGAAGATATATTAGCCCTTCAATATCCCGTAAACGCGAGTTTAGACGGGAATTTTCTAGTCAGAAAACACTTAAAACTATCCTAGCTCCAGGAATCTGTGCGTACGGTATATGGGAAGTTGGAGAACACCAATGAATTCACCATAAAAAATAGGAACCATTTCATAATAAAACAGTTAATAAAGAAACTGGATGGCAAAATTCAATGCGTAAATCGCAGAAAATGCCATTTCAGGGTTCTAATTTTCAAAATTTTACTGGGGGACATGCCTTCGGCCCTCGAAACATTTAGCATGATCAAGTCATTTGAGCTGGCTTCGCCAATGATGTCCAACATACATGTAACACTGGCAATTCGAGCATATAGTTCTGCAAGCAGAATCTAATGCCTTTCTTTGGACTTTTCGCGGATGAGGATGGAAGAGATACCATTAGTTGGGAGAGCTAAGATGCATGATGACCCAGCATAACCGAATTGTATTATATAGTAACTAGAAAATACATGCATGCAGAAACCCTTGCCTTGCTGACAAAACCATTGTATTTTCCGAACATGAAATATCTAATGTAGTTGTTATGGTAACACGATAATTTTTTAAGAATATTTTTACAAATGAAAAATGGCCTAAAAATATCACTTTCAATTACAAAATTATAAATTTCCCAATATATATATATATATATATATATATATATATATATATATATATATATATATATATATATATATATATATATATATATATATATGTAAATTAAGGTATGATATTATACGTAATATGAGCTTCAATTTAAGGTAAAATTCAACCAAAACGCGCTTTAAAACTAAAGTGTTCAGAGGCGCCGGAATATCGATAATTGCGGGGGAAGATATTCATATATTCGTGTTTACAGACTGTAAAAACAATTGATTTCAAAAGAAATTAATTGGGCAGAACACGAATATATGAATATCTGCCCCCGCAATTACACAGGGAGCAGAGGAGTCGAGTTTATCTGGTAAAACAATACAAGTGCCATCTTACCTTGTTAATTGTAATATCTTTCATTTGAAATTGTCGTGAAACATATAAAGTTTATAAACATTGTATGATTTTTTATTCGTACTTCATGTAATTTCATGTAACAATTATTGTGGGCTCACATTTCGCTATACTTAGTAAACAATAAGAAACGAAGAAAGGGAGGAAACAGTCATTGGGGTGATATTTTAGGATGGCTATAACTTGCTTAATATTTCATAAAAAAACATAATTTTTTGTATACAAGCTAGAAATTATCTATTCTTACTACACTTGGAAATAAATTTCAATAAACGGTCGTTTAACCTACATATTTGACGATCGATATTCATCGATTATTTTCGTACGATGTGCACCGCAACACCCTATGACGGAAGTGACGTATTGCTTCGTGTTTATGCATGATTGATTCAAATTTTTCGAATACTAATTACAACTGTCAAATGAAGTTCTGCTTCGTCATTGGTCAATGGCCGGTTTTATTCACTTCCGTCATAGGGTGTTGCGGTGCACATGCGACGAAAGATCTGCAATGTTTCCTCCCTTTCTTCGTTTCTTATTCGTTGATATCTCGGCCATTGTTCGTTAGCTTTTCGGAAAATACAAGTCTACGGTAATTCAAGGCAGCGGAGTATATTAATGTTGAAAATTCATATTTTGGTTTTATATTCGATAATTTTGATGAATAAATATGCATTTTTAATGCGAACATTGGGATTTTACAATGAAATATACTACAATTGACAAGGTAAGATGGTGTTTGTCTTGTTTTACTAGCTAAACTCGACTCCTCTGCTCCCTGTGGCAATTATCGACTTCCGGCGCCTCTGAAAGTGTTCTTTATAAAACTAAATAAATATAAATATCGATAAACTTTGAGTTTGCAATAAAATGATTTCAAATTCTCGCATGCAAATAACTTTGCTTTCTTTTTTATTTCATAGCCAGAAATGAGCGACATAGTGATTACGTGACATAAAGTGATCACCCGTGCCTGATTCCCAATATTTATAGTAAATTGTATTACTAATTCAACAATACAATACTAATTCCTGAGATGCGAAGATCGAATTCGGTCAAACAAATGCTAGCGAACAAACTGAGCCTAAAATTGTGCTGTCTCGAAGTCGACAAACCTTGTCCCTGAGAAATTGAAAATCACCAGCGAGACCGTAGTGAATTAGTTAACAAAAAGCATGAACAATTGCAAAATACCCTGTGAAGATCCTTCGCTGCGCGTTATAGACAATACAAATTCCTACATGCGAAGCGTGTTCCGGCAAGATAAGGTTCGTACGGCTTTGAATGATATAAAAACGAAGAAATATATTGTTCCCTTCTCTTGTCCCTGCCTTGTTGTTTTGAAGGTAGTTAAGAGCATCCAAGACCGGTAAAAATTTCGTTTTGGTTCCAATAGCATGGCCATAGGCCCATAACTCGGACAGAGGCGCCGGAATATCGAAGCTCGTTTCTTGCTTGTCTTTAATAACATGCTTTTAAGTCATATGCGCATGTTTTTATCGTTAAACTACCGCTGAAATCTCATAGCCAGAAATATGCGACATACAAGTCAATTACTCATTGACTTGTATATCACATATTTCTGGCTATGTAAAAAATTCAATATAATAAAAAAGGGAATGAATATTAAAGATACACTGAAATTATATGCTGCCTTGTTTTTATAGTTGTTTCATATCATAGGTCTCCCGAAAAGGTCTTTTATTAAAAAAATCCATACAATTTGCTTTAAAATGCAATGCCTTGACATGCAATGCTTCAATGTACAGTAAAACCTCTATATTTGTATTACATGAAGTACGTGCAACATCACAATAGCGTTGTGTCATTATGTACACGGGTAAAAATTGATCATGTTGTTCGGCGTTGTTCAAAACAGGAGCGAACAATGTTGTGCTGCACCCCGTGAACAATATTGTTAACAAGTTGTTCAACCATCAGTACTGTTGCAACTTGTTAACATGATTGTCAACAAGTTGCAACAATATTGATGGTTGAACAACTTGTTAACAATATTGTTCACGGGGTGCAGCACAACATTGTTCGCTCCTGTTTTGAACAACTTGCATCAACATGATGATTTTTACGCGTGTACACGCGTAAAAACGCTCAGGTTGATGCAATACTGATGAAAACAGGATTGAACAATGTTTTGCTGCCCACATTGTTCATAGCTGTCAACAATATTGAACAGTACTGTTACACCCGATTCAGGCTCAACAACATTGTTCAATATTGTTGACATGTGTGAACAACGTGGACAGCAAAACATTGTTCAGTCCTGTTGAGCAACGGTCTCGGCGTTTTTTGCCGAGTACACGCGTGAAAACGCTCAGGTTGATGCAATATTGTTGAAAACAGGATTGAACAATGTTTTGCTGCCCGCATTGTTCATAGCTGTCAACAATATTGAACAATATTTTTACACCCGATTCAGGCTCAACGACATTGTTCAATATTGTTGACAAGTGTGAACAACGTGGGCAGCAAAACATTGTTCAATCCTGTTGAGCAGCGGCTCGACGTTTTTTGCCGTGTAATATATATCCCCAAGGTTGGCAAGTAAATACAAATTTAAAACTGTATACACAAACTTAATGACGAAAAACTCGTACATAAACATCGAAATTCATTAAAAAAACTAACTCACTATGGTAAGAAATAACTGTAATACTTTTATATTGTGTTTTTTTCACTTTTAAACGAGTTAATTTTGCGAAAATTCCGAGGAAAATTCATCAAATTCGTAACTCAATTTGATCAAAACTATGCGGGATGATGGCTCCCGGCGTTACGTCACAAAATAAAGCTCTCTGATTCGCTGGGAAATTTCAGCCAGCCAATAGGAGAGTTTTTTTGAAATTTTAAACATTTTCAGCAAATCAGAGAGCTTTATTTTGTGACGTAACGCCGGGAGCAGTCATCCCGCATAGTTTTGACCAAATTGAGCCATTTTCCTCGGAATTTTCGCAAAATTAACTCGTTTAAAAGTGATGAGAGAAGACTGAAAACACAATATAGAAGTATTACAGTTATTTCTTACCATAGTGAGTTAGTTTTTTTAACGAATTTCGATGTTTATGTAGGAGTTTTTTCGTCATTAAGTTTGTGTATACAGTTTTAAATTTGTATTTAGTTGCCAACCTTGGGAATATATATTACATAATGACACCACGCTATTGTGATGTTACACGTACTTCATGTAATACAAAATATAGAGGTTTTACTGTACATTGAAGCATTGCATGTCAAAGCATTGCATTTTAAAGCAAATTGTATGGATTTTTTTAAAATAAAAGACCTTTTCGGGAGACCTGTGTTTCATATACGCAAAGGCCATCGTGGTTTAAAGCAATTATAAAATCAATATTTAAAACAAACTTACCTTCGTTAATGTCGGCTCCCTTCTTTTAGCCGATTCTTTCGCCCAGAGGCGCCGGAATATCGATAATTGGAGGGGCAGATATTCATATATTCGTGTTCTGCCCAATTAATTTCTTTTGAAATCGATTGTTTTTACAGTCTGTGAACACGAATATATGAATATCTGCCCCCGCTATTATCGATATTCCGGCGCCTCTGCTATCGCCCTTTCTTTCTTGTAATTTACAAAATCTTGCAAAGATGCGAGCAAAAATGAAATATATTTGGAAGAAATTTGTCAATCATCAAATCAAGAAATGTTTGCTATTTCGCTGTCGTCATGAAGTCGTTATAATGCAAACTTTAAATTGGACCAATCACAGTGTTCGCTATTCATGACAGTCTGCCATATTTTTGAGATCAGTGAGGATAACCCAGTGAAGGATGACCACCCACGCACGGTGAGCCACGCCCGCGATCATTGGCGAACTTTAGACTTCGCTATTAAATGCTTTTGTTTCCTCGGGTGTGAATAGCCGGGGGGGATTAGTACCCTCGCACGGCGCTTCGCGCCGTCGGCTCGGGGATTACATGGTATCCTGGATTTCTTTTGTCTTAACAGGAACAATTACTGTCGTATTTCCCTCTGCATGGATATTAGATGAGGGATATTTATTTCTAAACCTAATCTGCCAGGTGTTGACGAGGGACGTTTAGACTAAACATCCCTCATCAGTGCAATATTCATGAATAACACGCCTCAAAGAACGATTTACCGCCGTTTTTAATCCATTTATTCTTTTACTTACTGATATTAATGTTGATGGTCACAAGACTAGCTACCTACAGGTAATATTACACCTAGGCAGGTTCTTGGTTCGCACAAAATGGTAAAGCCGGGTTACTCCTGGATGACAAAGTGACTCATGAAGCTTGTGGAGAGAATCTTGTGTAGTGGTGGCGCATGTGGCTCTGGAAAGGGTGTCAGGTGGAATGTTGTCCTTTCCAGGTCGGTAGATAATGTTGAAGCTGTAACAAGAGAGCTCGAGTCTCCATCGCATGATCTTATCATTTTTGATCTTCGTTTTGTGGCGTTGGTCAAACATGTACGACACGGATTTCTGATCTGTTACAAGGGTAAAATGCCTTCCAGTTAAGAAGTGTTTCCAGTGTCTTACTGCTTCAACAATAGCTTGTGCTTCTTTTTCTACTGATGCATGTTTGATCTCACTGCTCTGCAGGGTTCGCGAGAAGAAAGCAACAGGTCCTCCGTTCTGGTTAAGAGTGGCTGCTAACGCTACATCAGATGCATCTGTCTCGACCTCAAATGGAATGCTATTATCAATAGCAGCAACAACAGCTTCTTCCACCGTCTTCTTGAGACTCTCAAATGCTTGAACAGCTTGCTGTGACAGTGGGAATGACTTGCAATTAGTAATTGGCTTGATTCGGTCAGAGTACTCGGGGATCCACTGTGAGTAGTAGGAGAACAATCCTAAGGATCTCTTCAAGGATTTCGAATCATGAGGGATGGGGAGGTCGCGTAAAGGTCGTAGACGCTCAGGATCGGGACGGATGTTGCCTTCTTCAATTAAATACCCAAGGAGAGGGAGACATCTCGTTGAGAAAATGCTCTTGTCATCATTGTAACAGACATTCTTGCACTTTGCAGCTTCAAGGAATCTTTCCAGATTTTCATCATGGTCTTCTTGGTCTTTGCCACATATGGTTATGTTGTCAAGGTAGGGGAAAACTCCATTAAGGGCGTGCTGCTAGACCAACTTAACCATTTCCCTTTGGAAACAGGCCACCCCATTGGTAACACCAAAGGGCAACCGGGTGAACTGATAAAGACCATTGCGAGCTTCGAAGGCAGTATAAGGTTTGTCTTCGTCTTTGAGTGGCAGTTGGTGGTAGGCACTACGGAGATCAATGGTGCTGAACACCCGATACTTGGCAATTTCATTGACCATTTCACTTATATTAGGTAGTGGGAAAGCATCAAGAAGGGTAAAACGATTAATGGTTTAGGAGTAGTCTATGGCAAGCCTTTTCTTATGGTTCTCATCCTTTGTTACTACGACTTGAGCTCGCCAAGGTGATTGACTGGGTTCTATGATACCTTCTTCGAGAAGCCTTGTTACTTCTTTATCAATAAACTCGGTACCTTCTTGACTGTATCGTCTGGACTTTGTTGCGATTGGGTGGCAGTCTGACGTTAGGTTTGAGAATGGTTCAGGTGGCTCCACGTTAAGTTTGCTGAAAATACATACTGACAAAGGTGGTTTTGATCCTCCATACTGGAAGATAACGCTCTCATGTTGTGACTGAAAGTCGAGACCCAAAATCAGATCAGCATAAAGTTCAGGTAGAACAGATAAACTGAGATCTTTATAAATTTGTTCTTGATAGACGAGATCGACAATGCAGGTTCCACATATTTTAACTGATGATGCAAGTGTTGCCATAGAGACGGTACTAGATGAGGGCCGGACTGTTAGAGCAGCTTCTTTTACAATACCGGGGTGGACGAAGCTTTCACTACTACCGCTGTCAAAGAGGGCCTTTACCTGCAACCCGTTGATACAAACAGTGGCTGATGACTTAGAAAGGGATGTTGGTATCGTTGGGACCGTTGCTAGACTTGGTGACCAGGCAGCAGCCGAAATTCTACCTCTGGGATTAGCAGGTTTGCCTCGACACACCTTCGCAAAGTGGCCTTTCTTCTGACATTTCAAACAAGTAACATCACGAGCGGGACACTTCGAACGGGGATGTCTGGCATTCCCACAGAAGAAACAGGAGTTTTCCACCTCCATTGCAGCTACGGTGCTGGCTTCTGGTAGTTCCGTTGGGCTCTGTGGTATATCAGAATAGGTACTGCTGCATTCACAGACGGTTGAGTGGCAGTGTAGGTTTCAGAGCTTCGCATAGCCAATTCAAGTGCACGAGCTTGGTCAAATGCGGTTTTGAGATCAAGGGTTTTGTTATCTAACAGTGGCTAGACTGCAGTCCGGTAATGAATGCATCTCTAATACTCTCTTCACAGTACAGAGCAGCTGTCACGTTCTTGAAATTGCAATCTTTACTTAAAGTTTTCAAAGCTTGAAGGTACTCATCTAGTGTTTCACTCGGTTGTTGACGCCTTGTAGCTAGAACATGTCGGGCAAAAATCTCATTTTTGGGTTTGATAAAAAGAGATTCCAATATCTCCATGGCAGCATCATAGTCTGTACTATCTTCAATGTGTTGGAAGATTGTAGGAGATACAAAGTTGGCTAAAACTGATAGTTTGTCGAGGTTTTCTTGAGGTAGGACTGACAAAAGTTCACGAAGGTTCGCTTCCAGTGAAGCCACTCTTTGGACGCCAAATTGCTGCTAGGATCAGTTTCAAATCGTTCAGGTCTTAGAACCTTATCCATTTATTTTGTTAGTTAAATTGTTGTTAAACTTCACAACAATTTAACTAACAAAAACATGGCGGTCAAATAAATAATATAAACAAATGTACCACTCGAGTGCAGGCTCCCAATACAGGTAACCCATAGTACTTCATGTAATGTTACAACAATGTATATGTCTTTTGCGTGAAATTCTGCATAAACAGCCCTATAGTTTTCCTTTTTCAGTCAATAACCGAACGGATATATTTGCGCTTCAATACTCAATTAAAACGCAATTTTCCGAAAATTAAGGTCGCCTCGTACGGTGAGCACAGTCAGTTTGTATCGACGTTAAATGGGAATTTTGAAAGCGCCATTCTAGTCTACGTTAAATTATATATATATATATATATATATATATATATATATATATATATATATATATATATATATATATATATATATATATATATATAATATCTGGACCGGTGTCCCGGATGTCGTTCATCTGGTGGGAAATTTTTGCTTTGCAAACAGAAAAAAATTTTGCCTTTTAGTTTTCCAATTGTGTGTCATTAAAATTTACAGATAAAATTTCAAACAAACAAATTGTTTTTGATTGAGCATGCATGCCTACCGTATTTTGTTACCCAGTGAAACTGACGATAGCCGATTTAATTCGCGCGAAAAGCATATGCTCACGTGCAGACTCAGTTCAGCCATATAATAAACCGATTATTGACCTCGCTTGTTCGGTCTGTACTGTGAAATATCAGACCTCTGTTTTTTGCATGGACCTCGCTCTTTCGTCGCTCGGTCCATACTAGAAAACC